ACAGCAGACAGTATAGGAGTATTTACAGCATATACAAACAAAAATACTGCATGTGGGTGCACACTTACATTATCTGTCTTACTGTTACATAAATCCCATGAATGTATGAGATTAAGTTAGCTTCATTATATCTCAGTGATTAAGTGAATAATAAAGTTTCTATCGGGTTACTATCAGCCTGTCACTCATTATTTTCAGGGAGGGGGCGGGGCTTGGAGGAACGGAGAGGAGACGGTGATCACGGAAGCTTTTTTCCTCCCGCCTTCACAAACTTTACACACGTATCGTCTGAAAATTGCTAGAGGACATTCATACTCTGCAATCCAAGACTTCATTAAATCCACCAAAAACCTGACATGATTGTAACGCGATTATTTAAAACAAAAATCCCTGTGTCTCTGAGCCGCAGCGACACAGAGTGATTCAGAGCGGGTCTGCTTAATAACCCCATCTATCTATCTATGTATCTATAACAATAGTCTTCATTTACAATAGGCATAATTTTAAAACAACATACATCTATTGCAGTTATGATGTCATAATAACATACAATTGTATAAAACACAATTTGCTTACATCTTTGTTCTCTTTTGAGAATCAAACAAAACAGATTTAAATGAAAAAAAGAATGCAAACAAACAAGTGAAATGAACTAAATTGCTGAATTGCTTTTAATTCACTGGCAGGAGCGACAAGTGAGGAGGAGCAAAAAGTGAACAACGAGGGAGAGATTGAACAAAGAGAAAGAGTAGAGGACAGAGAGAGTAATGAACAGGAAGAGGACAGAGAGACTCAAGAAGATGGAAGAGAGGCTGCAGGTTATGGAAAGGAGAGAGACATGGAAAATGAATGTTGACAATGTTTGTGATCATTTTAGCCTCTTCTGCATGTCCAGATCATTAATAGTAACAATCAACTGATTCTTATGCATTACACTTTCAAAAATTATTGATGCTGCAGCCCACTGACATGGTTTGAAATCAATATATTATCCAATTTGTGACCCCCCACAGGGCTTAAAAAGCACCTAACTAGATCATGAAAATCCCCAAAATCTGGGGGGGTACCCCCCGAACCCCCCTAGCATGTTTGGACCTCGGTATTTTGGAAATCCTGGATACGGCCCTGCACACATCCTGTCATGTTCTCAGCTACAGTTGGGATACCTTTGATAGCATGTTACTCTCATGTTGGAACATAATGACCATCATTCATCAGCAGCCAGCAGGCGTACCTTGAGGGTGATGCAGCAGTCGGGGTTCTTCCTCTCCAGGTAAACCTCGATGATGAGATCTCCAGCCTGAGACAGCTGCTCGCAGAAACAATCCCCGTCAAACTTTATTAATATTAAACTCCATTAACTCTCTCCTCGAACTATATTAATAATAAATTATCTTTCTGCTCACAAAAAATAATTTCCTCTCGCAGTCCTTCAACATTTGTAATCATTTTACCCGTGGGGGATTAGGGCCAAACATGAATCTGATTGAGATCTGACTATGAGTTAAATATAAACTGACTGACATTTATTTTGACTTTTTTTTCAGAATTTTGACTTTATCTCAAAATCTGATCTTTCTTTTTTCCTACCTAGACCTAAAATTGAAATTCCCTTTCGGTCAGATCTCAAAACATTTCTCACGCCCTAATCCTCTTTCGTAATCCAAACAACATTTATCAACACATTTTTACTAATGTATTCAAAACTGATCATAAATGTATTTATAACTACCTTATTAAAATGAGCTCAATTCAAACTGATTATCAGATAATGATTCATTTATTAGGGACTAGTTTCTAAATATTTACATTATAATTAGCAACTTGTGACTTATGCTAAATTATAACACCATAATTACAAAATGGATAAGTGATTGAAAACCATCCTTTAACTTACATATAACAAATGTATCATCAGTGTATTACTAATGTATAAATGACTTCAACCGACTTACTAGGAAATTATTACAACTCTTGTTTAAATTAAGATATAACAACTAACTCACTCTTAACTCATTATTAAATGTGGTTTTATATATTAATATCAGGCACCTGCGTGTCCTTCCAGGTGGTGATGAGGCTGACCTCCAGCTCGATTTGCGTCTGATGCTCCTCGTCGATCTGAAACAGGAGCAGTGTTCAGCCCATCCTTACAACCCAGGTTAGATCGAACCACGCCACCTTCACATTACAAAGTGTTGGAAAAACAACACAGGTTCAGGTTTCAGGACAAAGAGGAGGGTCGTACTCACATCGAAGACGTGCAGGTAGTTGTCGATCAGATCCTCCACGATCTTCACCTCGTGCTCGCCCTTCCCGTGGGTCTGGAACAGGCTGGGGGCGAACAGCAGCGACAGGTTCTTGGTGCACATCTGGTTCAGATCGGCACACTTCTGGACCCTGGAACCGGATCGGAGAAGAACCGTGAATCAATTGCAGTGTTTTCAGAAGCTCAGCTGGTAGCTTTATTAGAAGGAGACGATGATACGGTACGGCTCGATGATACGCTACGGCTCGATGATACGCTACGGCTCGATGATACGGTACGGCACGATGATACGGTACGGCTCGATGATACGGTACGGCTCGATGATACGCTACGGCACGATGATACGCTACGGCTCGATGATACACTACGGCACGATGATACGGTACGGCTCGATGATACGGTACGGCACGATGATACGCTACGGCTCGATGATACGGTACGGCTCGATGATACGCTACGGCACGATGATACACTACGGCTCGATGATACACTACGGCTCGATGATACAGTAAGGCACGATGATACACTACGGCTCGATGATACGGTACGATTAGATAATACGGTACGGCTCGATGATACACTACGGCTCGATGATACGGTACAGCACGATGATACACTACGGCTCGATGATACACTACGGCACGATGATACGGTACGATTAGATGATACGGTACGGCTCGATGATACACTACGGCTCGATTATACACTACGGCTCGATGATACGGTACAGCACGATATGACAGAATGCCTTACAAAACGATGATACGCTACGG